GATGCAGAAGGAGAGGCACTTTTCTCCGCCGGGTTCTTCGAATGGTTCTCCGAGGAAGCCCCCCGTATCTATGGCGATGTCATTCCTCACAGCAACCCATCGAGCCGTACACAGGTTCTTAAGGAGCCAGTCGGTGTATGTGGCTTGATTACCCCCTGGAACTTTCCCATGGCCATGGGAGCACGCAAGGTTGCTGCTGCGCTGGCGGCAGGATGCACCGTTGTACTGAAGTCTGACGGCCTGACACCTTTTTCGTCCAATGTCTTGGCTGTACTTGCAGAGCGCGCTGGCGTGCCGAAAGGTGTCTTGAACGTTGTTACAGCTTTGGAGAACACTCCCACTCTGGGCCTGGAGCTTTGCCAGTCGGATATTGTCAAGAAGATCTCCTTCACTGGATCAACGCGCGTTGGAAAGCTTCTCATGCAGCAATCTAGCAGTACCCTCAAGAAGCTCAGTCTTGAACTTGGTGGAAATGCTCCTTTCATTGTCTTTGATGACGCCGATATCGAGACTGCTGTTACGAGCGCAATGATCAGCAAGTTCAAGGTCACTGGCCAAACCTGCGTGTGTGCGAACCGATTCTTTGTCCAGGAGGGTATCTATGATCGCTTCAGCCAGAGACTCGTCGAGGAGGTAAAGAAGTGCCAAGTTGGCAACGGCCAAGATGTCGCCGTAACACACGGTCCCTTGACCAATGGCGTGACCAAGACTCAGGAACACATCAAGGATGCAGTTAGCAAGGGTGCAAGTGTACTCCTCGGTGGCAGCACGTTATCTTCTGTCGGCAAGAATTTCCACGAGCTCACCATTCTCGGAAATGTGAATGACACTATGAATGTGGCCACAGAGGAGACTTTTGGACCGGTTGCGGCGCTGGCCAAATTTTCGACCGAGGACGAAGTTGTCCGCCGCGCGAATAACTGTGAGGTTGGTCTGGCATCGTATCTGATCACGAGTGACCTGGGCAAGGCACACCGTGTGTCTGAGCAATTGGAGGTCGGTATGGTGGCTATTAATACTGGTGTTATTTCTGATTGGGCTGCTCCGTAAGTTATTCTCATCCTGATCCTGATGATGATTCCGCTGACTTGTAGAAGGTTCGGCGGCGTTAAGCACTCCGGTATGGGCCGTGAGGGCAGCAAGTACGGCATTGACGATTATGTCAACATCAAGATGGTCGTGACCGGTGGTATCAGCACTGTGCGCTCGGCAAACCTGTGAATGACTATGAATATTCGGTCGCAGAATACCCGGGCTGGAAAGGCGAGATAACGGTCTCACATAGACATCATGAAAATGGCAAATGATAGATGATTAAAAGACAGATGGGTGATTAATTTGACCTCGACGAATTAGTAGAAGATCAGCCCTAGCGATATTATCATAAGAAAAGAAGAATATGACTTCCACGTTTTCCAAAGAGGTCTTTATTGCTGGCTCTTGCCAACTCATTCTTTGATTGATTGCTTGTCTATTGTTATCAAACAGTGACTCTGCTCAGCAAGTAGATTTACATCTTCGCTGGCCCTCGGAGTCAGAAGATACTTTGCGACCCGTTTCGGAGATCTTATCCCTCAATGCAAGACTTCGATACGCTGTGACCCCCGGATCAGAGCTGGCTTCCGCTACAGTTGGGCTTTTGGAGCTCCGCGACGCCGATACTCGCCGAGCTCGGGGAGATTGCGCATTCCGCTTCTCTTCAACCGGCGCCGGATCGAAAGACCACAAAGACCCCGGATAGAACAGGGAATCATTTCCATCAACATACATTTGTGGAAACATGACAATCCATGGAGGTCCTGGTAGTAGTCGTTGTTGTCCCACCGCAGTACTACTCGATGGCCCCCTAGACTTATTCCACGCCGGGAAGTTGTTGTGCCAAATGGAAGACGCCAAAACCCAATCTGATCCCCTCTTCATCTGGTTCCATATGTCGGCAGCTGTTTCCAGATAGTCAATCAACTCTTCCTCGAACACACTATTACCCTCGGAGCTCAACATCGCTTCTAGCTCGTGGAGGAGCTCTGACGTAACTGATTTTATAATGTCCCTTTGTTGTTCTTCCTCTTCTTCGCGGAAGGTTTTGAAGAGAAGTGAGCGAAGTATTGCCTTCTGGCGAGGTTCGTTCGCGGATCTCTGGATTTCATCGCCCATGCTCTTGAGCCCCTTCGGTGATGCAATACACATAGGCTTGAAAACATGCTTAGATAGTCGATCCGCAATGAGTGACTGGGCAATACGGGCACACGGAACTGTTTGATAGTCGGCGTAGGAAAACAACATCGGTTGGGAAGTGCGAGGAAAATGATGATGTCCCTGTCCCTGTGTCAGAGAAACATTTCTTCCCCCAGTAACTCATGCTAGCTCTTCGGCTCACCTGATCGAAGGATTGCAAAGGGCCCTTGAAGAACCGTTCAGTCAGGTCAAAGAGCTTGTCTTCGAGGTTTTTGAAACTTTTGGAGAAACTACCGGCGAGTGAGCATTTTAATCCCAACTTTGCATCTAGTATCTCTCACAAGTCTTGTTCCAAAGGTACGATGTGGAAATCTCCACGGAGGCCCTTTAGTGTCTTCTCTGTCCGTCGTAAATGAGAATTTAGGTCGGTATTCTTATCCCTCTCGCACTCAAGATCCTCTTCCAACTTGCGTAACTTTTTCTCGTACTTTGCCAACTGTTCCTTAAATTCCCGATCTTTCTTCTGCGAACTCAACTCAGCCCTAGTGCGTTCTTCATCTAGTTGAGCTTCCAATTTATGCTCTCTCTCCTTCCACTTCAGAATGCGCTGCTCGAACGACTTGGTCAATTCTTCCTTCGTAATATCATTTTGCTTTCGCTCTTCCTGAGCCTTTTCGACCTTTGCATTGGCTTCCTTTAATTGCTGATTGAGTTCTTTGACCTGCCTCTGCAAGTTCTCAACCGTGTCGAAGTGTTCAAGGTGCTGAAGTACAGCTGCTGCTGATGCCTTGAGGTCTTTAATAGCATTCAATACGGGCTTATCGGCTTTGTCAGATTTATCGGCTTTATCGGATTTATCTTTCGATCGCGAGTTCTGGCTGCCCGGGGCCATAATGAGAAGGAGGGAAACAGATATAAGCGAGACAACACACAAGTAACATATGAGAAAGACTAGGGAATTGAGATTCATTTTGCTTCGGAACAAAAGCCGTTATGAGTATTAGTGGGGATATACACCGCTTATTGAGACATGATCAACTTATGCAGGCAAGGGGCAGGCAGACGTTGGACAGGAATGCCCCCCGTGTTTTTTACAGTAAAGAATTGTCTCAGGATGTGATTGACATTATCTGCTTCCCCTCTTTTCTGCTGATAATGGAATTGAGCGCATAGCTCTTGATAAGCTGCAAGGAACAGAAGTGTGAGACACATGCCTATCATTCGGTGTTTCTCATTTCTGGTGCCTACCCCAGCTAATATGGGTGATAAAAGGGCAAAAATCACAAGTTACTGTATACGCGAATAGTCTCGACACCCCGCGCGATACTATACACACACTGAGGGCAAGAATTTCCTAGATACTCGATCAGATGCAATTACATATAACTTTCTGTATTATACTAAACTTCAACCAGAAGCCTCAACACCGTTGTAGCTGTCTTTTGGGTGCCATGGACTTATTATCACACTAATATAATTATTATTCTAGAATTTCCACATCACGATGTAACTACACTCATTTGGAAAGTAATGATAAGAGAACCTGATAAAACGGACGCCGACTCTCCAGAACTCACCATCAATGTCGCATGAAGTATAATATATAATATTCCTTTAATACACAGCCCACATTTTTCGGTTCCAGCTGTCCGTTCACGGTCGCAAAGCCGCACTTGCCCTTTGACAGGATAATATATAAATAGTGCAACCTCATTAGACTACAACAGACTAGACATTGTCTGTATCAGGAATTCTTCTGGACATAGTCATACCTCTTGGTCATGTATTCAAGTGTGAGTGCTCTGATCGCGACGGCATCTGTCGGCAGTTAGTGGAGCGGACTGAGCGATGATTTTTAGGCGTCGCCTTGACCAGCGACGATAATTAAGATTGGGCTATAGAAGTAGATTATGTTGATAACGCCGTCAGTAACCCCACTTTCGATGTGAATGTGACTGACGCATGTGTGATGTGTGGAGCATCACCCATTTCGCCCAACCTGTAGAACGCCGGAGCTACCAGCAGCACTAGTAGATACGCGAACAAGACCTTAGATTATGCATATTAACACATGTATGTAACTATGTGCTGAAAACGAATTTGTAATAAGCACGTGGAATAATGAGGTTGGTTGTGAGATACTTTAATAAACTACCCTACAAAACACAAGGCTCGCCGGCATTTTATGCCACTGTGACAGTAGGGCCACGGTTGCTGCAGATGATGAGTTTGGACGAGCTGCGAATTCCGAGATATTAGCCTAATGAAAAGTAACGTGCCATGCCGAATGCATCCCGCTGAACGGTGGACAGCTAGTCCTGCTTTGGAAGGCAGGCTTATAAAGTCTGCATGTATTAAGTATGGTGCCTTAGAGTTCTAGTATCTGATTAAACGGTGTAGCTGGGAGACAGAAACTCCATCTCTAGATGTATCTAGGAGCCATGCTAAATGCACCCCCAGTGTATTTATGAATCCTTTCAGCAGTTCTTATTAATTTCAATGGCGAGGATACCAGATTGGTACTCTATATTCACGACCTTGAATGGTTCTTAATAACAAAGTAAGTTGTACATAAATGAGAGACTCAAAATTCTTTGTAAATTGTTATAGGAATAATTGTTTTATCGCGTGGCGACCTTGTCTTCAGGACCGCGGACAATACTCATTCGCTTTCAGAAGTTCTATACCTCAGTAAGATCTTAAAGCAGCTTATTCCAGATCAAGGGAGTTCTAAATCTCGTCGAATTTTCTTTGACGTGCAATAAACAACCTTGAAAATATAAATCGGGGCTTTGATCAAGCTTCCTACAAGAATAGGTAGCATGATGCATTCTCTCATTTTATTTACAGGCTTGCTTTTTGGTACCATTGTATTGGCAGTGCCGATCGAGGGCGATGGTGAGGTTCATTCATCTCATTTTCTAGACGTAATTGACTGGGGACAAAATGGGGGAAACGCTTTTGAAGACAATGATCTATCCACGTACTGTGTACCAGAAGCTGGCATCGACCTCATAGTGTTAGCTTTTCTCTATGAGTATGGCGATGGGATACGTTTCCATCGGATACAATTGGTCAGTCGTGCTGGATAATACTGAGCGGCGAGTCTTTTCAGTGCGAGGATCTGCAATCAAGAAATGGCAAACGAATGGACTCAAAGTATTTCTCTCGCTTGGTGGTGCAACAAGGAGCATATTCTCTCTCGTCACAGAAGGAGGCTGAAACGCTTGACCAGCAGCTCTGGGGCGCATATGGAAATACGAAAAGTAATGTTGTACATCGACCCTTTGGAACAACTTTCGTCAATGGCTGACACTTCGATATCGAGACATTTGGCGGTATTGAGTATTACCAATATCTCATCAATAATCTGCGATCTGACTTCAACTCCGATCTTTCAAATAAAATACCATATCACTGGGGCACCACAATCCCCTCTCCCTCAACCAATTATGCGACAAATCATCGCAAATCGTCAAATCAATTGTCTTTGGGTACAGTTTTACAACAATCCTAGCTGCTCGGTTAATGGTGCCATCAATCTTGGGTCCTGGGTGACCGCTGGAACTGTATCTTCCAACACCAAAATATTGATCGGTTTACCAGTCTCTCCTTATGCAGCCACGGGAACATACGATGGAGCTCAGTATTACCCTCAGTCGAGTGCACTTGCGGCCTTACTGCGCGAAATTTGCTAGCTACCCTCAGTTAGGTGGCGTTATGTTGTGGTCTGCTGGATTCTCAGATATTAACATAAACCACGGGTGTAACTATGCTCAGCAAGCCCGCAAAATTCTCAACATGGGATCACCATGTTAGACGCTTGTGGGTCCTGATTAGAGAGGTTATGGAAGAGCGATAGCGAGAAAAAGCTTTAGCTAACCAGAAAATTTACTACTAGTTGCCCAATAAGGAGTTTGTCTGATTCAAGAGTGGGTCTTAACCTCACTGTATATTGTGGGCAAATGACTCGCGAATGCCGCCATATCCGGCTGAATGATTCACGCAATTATCCCCACCGTTCAAATTCGCCTTTTTCAGCAATGGCTCCTGACAAATTCAATACATTCCAATGAGAAAAAAGGGCTTTATTTCTACGCATTTCGGATCCCGCCTAACCCACCCTCTTGTACACGAGTGTGTGGGGGGGTCAATCCGGTATCGGATTTGTAACCATTGCTAACCCAAAAATTCCTCTCCGTCTTATAAGCAAACTGGACTGCTTATTTCTGAATTTTGCCAAATTAATCCACAATGGCACCCAAAACCTCTTCGACTTGGATTCTGCCATGCCAAAATGGCATCGAAAGTCTTCAATTAGTCGAAGAGACCCCTGTCCCTGAAATTGGGGACGATCAAGTATTGGTCAAGGTCCATGCCGCCTCTCTTAATTATCGCGACATAGTAATTGCCAAGGTATGTGATATCATTATCCAGACTACATGCCAAACCCCCAAGAGCCTCTTTCGCGTCTCTGAGACCAACTGCTGATGAGCACAGGGTGAACCCGAACTATCTCATTTCCGACCCGGCGTCATCCCCGGCTCTGATGGAGCCGGAATTGTCGAGGCCGTCGGTTCCAACGTCAGTGACTTCCGACTAGGTGATCGGGTCTGTACGCATCTCACATCTGGTCTGCCGTCCGATAAGGCGGCGTCTTGGAATGACGTCTGCGAATTCGGACTGGGTCATAATTACAATGGCACACTTAGTTCATATGCAGTTTTTCACGAATCGTCTCTTGTTCGTATGCCTGCGAACTTGGACTTTTTACAGGCGAGTACATTGACTTGTTCGGGATTGACAGCTTGGAACGCTCTTTTTGGCGTTGAGTCATTGAAGCCTAAGAAGGGAGATTGGGTTCTTGTTCAGGGGACTGGAGGTGTTTCGATTGCAGCAATGCAGGTGAGTCAAGCTTGCATTACTTGAAACGAACGTTTTTAATGAATATGATATTTGGTAGTTTGCCTTGGCTGCAGGGGCTACGATCATTGCAACAACAAGTTCCACCGTCAAAGCCGAGCGACTCAAATCCCTCGGCGCTCATCATGTCCTGAATTATCGCGAGGATTCTAAATGGGGAGAAACAGCTAAAAGTCTCACTCCGAATAGCCAGGGAGTCAACATTGTCGTTGATGTGGGTGGTTTATCGACTCTGCCGCAATCAGTTAAAGCCATTCGCGCTGGCGGTCTCATTGCTCTGGCTGGGTTACTTGGTGGTGCACCCGAGAATACATCCATTCCTACGTTGATGGATTGTCTGGTCAATACTTATGTTGTTCGAGGATTAATGCTCGGCACTCGTGACCAATATCGCGAGATGAATCAGTTCATTGAGGAGAACGACATCAAGCCCATTTTGGATGATCAGGTCTTTGATTATAGCCAGACCAAGGAGGCATATCGGTATCTACAGCAACAGCGTCATTTCTCGAAGGTTTGCATCCAGTTTTAGAGTGGGGAAGCAAGCAATGTACACTATTCTGATTTGGAAATGTTGTTTTCGAATTTGAAATAAAAAAATCGCTTTGTATTCATGACATTTCACATTTTTGTGCTATCTCGTTCAATGTTCTCATCATGATTTACAAGTAGACATGGGATAATCTTTGACTCTACAGTTTCAGCTGACGCCGATCCTGTGGCCCAGAGCAGCAAGAGTGTTCGGGATGTTGAGTGGATATGTTAAAGGACTGGCAGAACTGTGGAACGTCAAGTGCCGGATTCTTCGTGAAGAAACTATCGGGTTTAAGCATGGCGCTGACACGTTCCATCGGCATAATCGGAAAATTCTCAATGCGAGGGTTGTGGGTAAGACCGGATGCCATGAAAATGGTCAGTAAAGATGACATACACTGGGAAAAAGTATAACTTACTGTGCCAAAGAACCAGAACCTCATCCTCCACAGTATCATTGCAAGCAGCACACTTCTCCCCGCCTTGTGATTCGGTAGTTATAATGATTCCTATATAATGTTATAGTATAAAGAGGTTTATAACTTAATGGAGATATATTTTATAGTAAATAATAAAAGCGGGATAAATTAATGTAAAAGAATATAATGAAAGAATACTTATATTATTTACCTAAAACACACATCCGAGCAAGTATAAAATAATGCTTTATGTTGAGACATTCACTGCAGCCAGGCAGCTGTCAGCTGATCCTTCGCCTCTTCTTCCTGCGTGGTCTCTGACCACCACCTCTTCCAACCCCCAACCAAACCACCAACCATCTTCTTGAGATCTAGATAGATCAAATCCATATATCTTTGCCCCTTCGTCTTGACACTTTATATAACAGCCTGTGTGCCAACCACATGACCAAGCCTACATAATTGGCTGCCTGAACATTCAACCAAGATGAATAATGGAGCGTAAGGATCGGCGATTGATACAGGTCAATGGACCGTTGCTGATAATCATACTACCATATTTAAGTTACATGCTATTTTTTAGCCATGTGGAACCTCCGCGGCTATACGAACACGAACGGGGACCCAAAAGTCTATGCGGGAACGAGCAAGGCCCCTGATACGATGAACCCGGTTAAGCTCTGCAGATCCGTTATAACCACTTCGTCCAGGGACTAAGTAGGCGAAATTGCCGCCCGATGTTCCATTCCTTCTTTTGCTACATGGAGAATAACGGCTTTACACTGTTGGCTTCTTAAAGTTTACTGGAAACAAGATGAGTACCCTGAAGCGTCATCACATTTAAAGAAGCCTGGGAGCGTGCTGTACGTGGTTTGTGCCTACCAAGTGTGCAGTATGATGATGCTAGCGTGGAAAACGGGCAAAAAGTTGCAAAAAGAAGTGTCTTGCATACTTTGTTGTCGCATACTTTGTTGTTTCAATTCAATTTAACTGTATGCAAAGCCGCACGCACCAGTATGAAGGCGTGTTTCTAGGCTCGGAATGGTGGTGTATTTCGATCAGCATGTTTTTGTTTAAGCTCAGCAGCCGTTAAAGCTTATGGAAGAAATTCGGTACAATATGAAAAAGCAACGATATGCAAGTCATTTGAATACATAATAAACTAATCTATTGAGTTCTATACATAGTAAAAATACAAAGTTATTGGAAAATAATCAATCTAAGGCTGTCGACAGGCCTCTTGGCTGGGGAGAGTCATGCATCCGCAGTGTTGAACCTTCCGTGAATACAATCTCACCCCATAACATCAATCCTCCTCGCATATGTGCAGACCGGGCCTCCCAAAAAAACAGCTTCCAAAATCTAAAGCTAGCCGAACTCAGTTGGGGCTTGTTTTGTTGTCGAAGCTGGTAAGGGCAGTGTGAGTAGCGTAGAATTCACCCTTGGGGTTGTAGTACTCGTCGAACATCAATGGCTTTGCGCCCTTGACCCAGGTGTAGGCATGCTTATCGGTGAATCCCCAGAAGGTGATGTCGGTGACTCCAGCGTCGAGGGCCTCAGTGAGGACGGCGTTGTAGATATCAGTTTCGAGGGTGGTGTTCAGGGTATGGACATCCATCTCAGAGATGGATACCTCCAATCCAAGAGAATTGTAAGATTTGATTATATCCGTAATCACGCCAGCGATCGGAGCTACTTCGGTAACGTGCATCTGTAGAGCGATTCCGTCGATCGGGACCTTGTCTGATACAAGTCCAGAGACTAGATCGTAGAGCTCTTGACGCTTACCGGGAAGCGACTCGACCGAATTCTCGCTGAGAAACAACTTGGCGTCTGGGCCCGCTGCCCTAGCGATATGAAAGGCGTCTGCAATGTATCCAGGTCCAAGCACCCTGTAGAAGTCATTGGCCTGTAGACCGCCACCCATAGACTTAAGAGCCTCGGTGACAACGTCCCACCGATCCATCTTGCCGGCGTATCGGTGCATGATCGCTTCAAAATGAGTGACCATGGCGGCACGGAATTGTTTGGGATCGGTGATGTTGAGCAGGTAATCGGGGTTACAGCAGCTCGAGATGAGACCATGCCCCTTCACCACCATGTCGTGCTTCTCCGCGAAGCTGACAAGGCGGTCGGTCGCGTTCCAATTGTAGTGGTTTGGGGTCGGGTGTATGAATGTCCACTTCAACTCATTCTCGGGAGCGAGACTTTGAAACTGATCGGCAAGGACGGTCGCAAACAAAGTATCATTGAGATAATTCGGATTGATAGCCCCGGACCCAATGAGGATACCCTTGCTTTCTGCTACCTTTTTCAACGGGGTGGTGTTGGTCTTGGTGAAGGCATTTGCTCCTTCACTAGCGGCGAGCAACGCGGTAATGAGGGTCGCGGCACCAAAGGTCTTCATTGTTCTGGTTGAATCTATGTTATCTTTTCTTTCCTGATATTCTGCAATGAATAGCATCCAACTACAGTCTGCTGGTCAAGGTTTTTATAGGTTCTTCAGACGGGACACATGGCGTCGCAATGCCGTGAATAGAGTGGGCCTATCATCGTTGTGCCCATTGCAGCAGGCGATGAGGACACAAGCATGGCACCTGTACGAAAACGAACGCGCCTTTTCATTTGTTGAACCATTGTTCCTTTTTGCCACAAGAAGCATTCCCGAGACTTTTTGATAAGCAAGAGATCTTGGAACCTTCGTATACTCGTACAGAGTACACTGCCCGGGACCCACATAAGATTTTCAGTGCGTAGTGTCTCCTGTTTTCCTGCTAAGTTTTAAGCTAACCCGACGATCTGCTATGGCTATCCCAGGCTCTAAAAGTTAATCTCATGATAAGAATAGGAAATGCGCCGTATAGCTAAACGAACTTAGTGGAGGTTTCAGTGGCGGCCAATCTGTTCTAACAAAAACTACAAGTTAGACGATGAAGCATTCCGGATTAAGTTGCCAGGTCTAGAACATCAACAGGCTCTCCTAACCGATTTCAAGATCGAAGAAGAAGCTCAGATGCCCCAGTAACCGGTCATTCACCATCTACATTTAACTGCCAAGTCAAATAAGACATTATCATGTCTTAGGATATATTTGACATTATCTACGCTTATACCACTGACCCGGGAGAATAGGTGGGTCGGTCAGTAGCAAAGTATATTCCTCTGAAAGCAAATTCAAAGTAGTTAGATGACTTGAGTTTTCTACGTCGCAGTAGTGTCTTCTTTGCCGACAGGTTCGGGGATGGGTTAAGATATCAGACTTCTGGTAGATTAAAGGCCTTCCAAGACGTTCATTAGATCTATTATAGAACATTCCATACTAGCTTCGTGCTTCTCTCATATGAAATGTTTGTTAACGCCAAATAGAGAAAGGTACAGCTCGCGATATTCGACAACAGACCAGATTTAGCTCTTATATTACGATGGACACATAGGGGGTTTCATATTTTTAGAGTTATCGGGCCATGTATTAAAAACTGTGCCACAGATAAGTGAAGTATCATGTGGCTTCCTAGCATCAAGTTGAACACTCGAGCAACATGTTTCCCTTTCAGCGTTGTGGCTTAAGGCAGTTTTCGAGTTAAGGAAACACGCTTGTTCTTCAAATCCCATGATATATCCAACATATGCAAGGGACTATAGAGCGCCTTTCCATTTAATCAGCTTTAAACAATTGCTCTCCATTGCAGATGCTGGAAAGCTTAGCGATGCCTGCCAAGAGGCCAAACTTATACTGTTGACACACTTACCGCTAGACGAACAACGAAACATCACGTCTACTTGACCAATTGACCGACGGAGATGTCCCGATTCATACTAAAGGTAAAACTACCTGCACAAATAATACTTTAGCAGACTATTGAATAATCTAAAATAACCTATATGACATGTTACAGACAGGCATAGTGCCCCCAACGCAGGTCGTATTGAGAAGTGTTGACATACTCAAGGCATTAAGGCCTTGTTTATTTGCTAACCGCTGTATATTCTATTTTGGCGAGCTGAAAACTCCAAGATATTAGCCCGAAAAGGAATGCATGGTTTCAAATTCTTGTTAAATGGCAGACGGCTTACTTCCCTGTGACATAAAGTGGTTGGTCAACATCAAGTCATCGGGTAGCGAAGACTTTATAATCCAATTATGCTAATAATGTTCCACTAGCGCCATCTTGTCTCCGCTCAAAGGGCCCCTGAATATCAGCCACACGATATGTTCCACCGGAACATAAGCCAGATGATCTCACTTTGGGATGTAAATTGAATGTGGCACATACTATTGTTTATTGAGGCATTATCTTTCAATTGTTAAGTATCTTCATTGAGATATTTCCTACGATATAAAAGGAGCACTCGCTCCCCCTCTTCCTACACCACTCCACAGTCTAACAGTTCTCCTCATTTGAGATCTTTCTTCACAATTACCCCCAGAAATTCTTGCACCTTTAACAATATGAAGACTTTTACTGTTGCCATTACTTCTTTCCTGGCAGTTGCCGGCCTTGTCACAGCAATCCCTATGCCTCAGGGCATGTATCCCTTGAAGCTGCTCTCCTGTTATATCATGTTAATTCTCTCTGTTTCTCTAAAACAAATCCTGAAGACGTCGGCTTAGTGGGTCAGGCTACCACAAGTCTTAATCAAGGGCTTAGCCAAGCCGGACCTGTTGCTGCAGGTATGTACTGCGACATTGAGTGTGCTACAATTTACCCACCAAGATTCCCCACTTTGCCGAGGCGATAATAGTCTGGTGCTAATGCTATTCTAGCTAATGCTGGACAATCTATGGCTGATCCGGGGAACGCAGCTGAGACGGCAGCGAATGTGCTTGCTGGAGCTGGTAATACCTTCAACGAATCTCCAGGCGCTGCCCCTGCTCAAAACAATGCGCCGCAGTTACAAAGCACAGGTAGGTATCTCCCTTGAACTATAAGCTGCGTGATACTGTCTCATACTAATTGATTTCAAGTAAATGCAGCGGGGGGAACTATCGGGACTCTAGTCGGAAGCATAAGGAAGTAATTGGAATGTGTGAGCAAACAGCCAAAGCTCCTCATTATCATGGAGGAAAGGTTGGTAGTATATATTTTCTCGGTTGACTTATGACCCACAAACGGGGCCCCATCATACTGACTGCCAATAGAATATTCTATTGTACTGTTAGGTAGTACTGAAGGCCTGTACTTGGCGCGAAGTGGGATGTGATGTAGTTGAGAAAAATGGGATTTCATTCATGCCGGACCTCGCTAGGTCATTTCCCTCTCATGATGGCAACCATGATGGTGGTATAATGCTAGTGTTGTTGCCATTCTTTTGCTGGGTCTCGAATTCAGAAATATATCCTGACACGGGAGCTAGCCCTAGCCGATAACAAGCTACTATATCAATCTGGAGCTCTAGTATTCCTGCTGGAACTTATTAGGTACAACTGCCAAGCCACAAGTACGATAGCATACGACGAGTAGATATAGTAAATCACATGTAGACTAGCGGTATAGTTTGCTTACGTCATCAAGCAAGTACTGGTGGTTGCTGCTCACTAGCATTTTTCAGTTTCCAAACGCTGGAATATTAGGGCCTAGTGGGAAGCCAAATCTCCCAGATGAGCTACAATGATGGGGTTTACAAGGATTTTGATTGGGTTATTGCTCCTCTGGGTTTGCAAGCTTTTACTACATGGACTATCTACGTATGCGAGAGTAGACTTTCTACTGCTCTCAGTTGCTGTTCTTTATCAAGGAAGAGTTGTACAGGTGATGTCCGATTCATTGACTGTGAGAATTTTCCGTGGTGGTATTTTTGTTAGCTATGTTTATCACAGTAGAATAGATACCGCCATAGAAAAAATAGCATGGTAATTATCATATACTCTGAATATACTCAAGATTTACCAATATTACTTAAAGGAATATCAGAGTCTGAATGAGAAGACAAACTAGAATAGGAAGTGATTGACAAGGAGGAATCCGCTCACCTAGTATGAACTGGAGGCTATTTTAAGTCTGGTATATTGACAGGTAACTGTATCAGAATAATAGAAAGTCAAACCAGCTGCAGATACACAATTACACAATCTGATGTTGATCAAATAGCCGGATAAGCCATATTTATCCTATCACCTGATGGCTGATCCCTTTTTCGTCCGTTTGGAATAGAAACAGAAACCGGTCAAGTAAGCATAAGATTCAGGCTTCTAAGATATGAAGTGGGACTAGAGCCAACTGCTGGACTCAGTCCAGTTTAAAATAACCGTACAGACCTTCAAAAATAGGACGAGCGACACCAAGTTCGTCGAAAAGACAATTCCAATGTGACATCTTCCGGTACACGGCGTGCTCCTACTAGTTACAGATAGTCTTCAAAAGCCATATGAACAAAATCAAACCCGAATACGATTTCAAGTCACCGTCGTCCTAACCCAATATGGAAAGATCGCCTTGAAGTCCTCGCAACAGTCACAAATTTCTGTTGAGGTAAAGCCTGGATACAATACCAGATCAAGTGATAAGTATGTGTAACTGAGTGGTCGGACTGACCCGATGATAATCATCTCTCGGTAGGCTTCGATATCCGATGCATCTACTTCGTATCTAACTACATATTGGTACCTGTACCTACGTGGCTCAGATCTACCCCTCTCTTCTATCCTATCCTATCCTGTTTATTGGGAAGTCTCATGATATGCTAAGGGTCGTAATGACATGCTTACCGAGTATGATTCTTGCCCCTGTCTCCATTTATGTACTGTTGACAGAAGAGACAAGCTATTGGAGCACTTTTGAGGAAATTATCGCTTAAATGGGGTATTGGAATATGGGAGCAACACTTATTCTATAAAGACAGACAGATAAAAGTCATCAAAATTAGATGGTCCCTTTTCGTTTCCCTAATTCAAGCCCCTTCATCAACCAGTCATCATACAAAAGCTCCAGCGCTGTCGGTCGGTCAGAAGGATTCCATTGCAAAGCCCTTCGAATCCATCGCAGAAACCCATCTTTGTCTTCGCCTTTGATATCGATAGCCAAAGATTCCAAGGTAATATCAGGAACCGGGGCTAACCCTTTCCAGGCACCGTAGTTGTCCCAGAAGACAGAACTGAGATGACTTCGTTCACGGAACTCAGGTGGTGGGGAGCCTAAGAGTGCAACCAATTCTGCAAGGTGGACACGATCATCGAATATGCCCTCTGTATTTCTGCCTCTGATGAGTGTGAATGAGCTCACAATGTCCCAGGCCTTTAGGATACAGATTAGCATACCTCTAATTCCGGCAAAGTAAAGAATTGCTGAATGCGTGTAATGGACTCACAACCATAGCGACACTCCAGATATCAACCTTATAATCCCAGATTGTTTTTAGAATCACTTCAGGAGCCCTGTAAGGATTTGGCATAATATCTTCGTTATGTTTCTCATCGCCAAGTCGTGCTTCACCAAAATCACAGAGAAGTGGTAGTCCGTCTCCAGGAGGGAAGCGCGAGGATCGGTAGATAATACGGTCCTGAAGCACCTTTCGTGCCGATGGCATCCTCATCTCCTCTTCCTCAAACTTGAAAAGCGCCTCTGGCTTTGGTGTGGGCAAAAGCAGGTTCTTCAGCTGAAGATCTAAGCAAATAAGCCTCTCGTTACCGGTAGGTAGGAAGGCATACGTACCCGTGCGAATCACACCAGCTACAGAATGCAAGAAATCTAACGCAATGAGTAACTGTCGGATGCATACTTTCATATCCTCAAGAGTCACTGTATTTCCAGGAAACCATTGCAGCATCTCACTCGCACTTATTCCTAGGGGTTCGTGAACAAGACAAATATGTTGCCCATGGCGACCCGTGATGATGAAATGATCGAGTAATTTTCGAATGAGACTTCTACCTGGATGTTTGAACTCTGCTGAGTTCATATGACGATAGATATTCAATTCATGGTCTCCTTCCTCACCTGTTACGTAAATCTTTAAAGCAACATAGCTGGAATTTCTGTAGTACATTGTAAACAAAAGCTCCACCCAGAAAGTAGATAGTAGTCTAGATGTACTTACACCAAGTCACGACCAAACCATACAGTGGAAGTGACTCCATAGCCTAACTTGGCTAATACCTGATATCGGTTGTTGAGAACTTCGCCCTGTTGGACGGGATAATATCTCTGGGCCTGATATGTTGGTAATGTTTCTTCTTCAATACGTAAGGATGAGTCGAGTAATTTGAATCCAGAAGATGGAAAGTTCCGTGGCATAGATGTCCACTGAGTGGAGACCAAAGATCTTTGTTGTAGGTACCTTCTAGGGCATTTGGAAATGTAGAAATATAGCGGGATGTAGGATTTAGAGAGCAGTGGTCGCTTTGAGACCAGCCAGTTCAGAGAAGCAAGAGGATTGCGGTGGTATCTCGAAGTCCGATACATTAGGACCCTCAGTTCAAATGAGAGGAACTGAGTGTAGCAAAGGTGCAGCTGAAAGGGAATGACAAATGACTATGGTATATAATCACTCTGCCAGAAGAAGCTGGATGGTATACAGCCCCTCGGTGAAATCGAGAAAACTCCTGGAGGATCACGTGGAACTTAAAGCCGTAGGCAAAACTTCACCATTATTTGTCTGCATTTTGTAGGGTGTGCTGAATTTAAAGGATTTCTAATTCCTAATTTCTACAAGAAGTAAGCTAACTAAATCTACCTGATGTACGGGGTGTTCCTGAACATAGTACATCCCGACTACGGATGGAATGTGACATACAAATATATTGTTATACTCTCCCAACATCCGCAATCGAATTCCTTTCTCACACACGGATGGAAGAAGCACTATCCCTAGCTAGTAATAAACCCTGCAATGCGAGCCTGTGCAATAATTTCCGCAAACCCACCCTCTCTCCCTTCACGAGAAGCGAGGGATTTCCACGTCTTATCCTGGTGGATATGGATTGTACCAATACGAGTTCCTGCATTAGTCTTCAGTCCCACTTTGACAACAAGGTTTTGATCTTCTCTATCAGTAGAAGGAAAGTGAACCTTGGAGGCTCTATGCGATAATATTAGAATACTGGTCCAATTGAAGTATGGTGATGCCTACTGAATTTCTGCCGTAGTGATCTCTGGAACCTAGAAGAATCAGCGCCAGCTAATCTGGGCTTGTGCTTAAAATATTTTACTAATTTATCAATTAAATTGCAGACGGACTTCGTTGCATCGATCCATAAAGGGCCTTCTATGGTGCCATTGGTGATTACCATCTCTTCGAGAGGAGCTCCAGTGAATTGCATCAAAGAAGCAGAGGCCTTGTGGAGGCCCCTCGCAAAGTTCCGACTCATAATGATAGTAAAGATTATATAGTCTTAATTTTGTAAGTGCCGGGTGTAGGGAATAGAGGACTCCGTGACCTTTTATGGCCTTCATGTTCTCTGTATTCTCCTGAATATACCTTCTAAATCGTAACCCTTTCCGCTCTCTCCCTTTACACAAAGCAGGAATTTACCGGTCTACTCTCATAGCTTTATCTGTCCAGCTGGCTGATATGGCGCTATTTCAATCCTGAGGTACCTCAACGTAATCGAACATGTTGAATGTCGTTTGAAATGGAAATATAGTGTTGATGAACCTAGTCGGGGTGTATCTCACATTCCTTAGTATTTGATGTCGAGGCATCTGCTGGAGTAGGCGAAGTCACATGCCAGGCGCTCAGGCCGCCCACAAACGACCTCTCGCTTTGTTTACTAGATCACCTAGATAGCTACTAATTCAACTCACACTTTTACTGCATTTTTGCGCGTTCATTTGCTTGCTTTTGCTGTTTCATTACTTTACTAATAATCACGCGCCTCAACAGATTATAAGCCCGGACTTCCTCCTGTGAAGCTATTCAGACCCCTATATCACGGATCCTGACCCCAAACAAAGCAGAGGGCTTACGGCTTCTATAAGTAGTAGAGATGAACGGGGACGCGCTGATCTTGGAGAATTATCTTAATCTAATTTAAATATCTGATTTGAACACCTAATTACATTAAAAAAAAAAAGATATTCTAC